ATAACATTCTGTATTCAAGGACTTTTGCCTGCGTCTGATGGAGACTGCCAGAAGATTGTATCTAGTTGAGTGTGAAGTGTTGATTGGACAATGTGATGAACTTGTGGGTGTGGGGCAGGGCTGCGAACTGTCAGCTGGGTGAAGAAAACCTGGAAGCTTTCAGATTCGGGTTTTCCCAGATGTGCCAACATGACATCTCTAATAAATTGGAACTTTGAAGAACCTCAAGCCTCTGAGCTTTATTTTGTTGGGGGTGTTCCTTGGAACCCTGACAGTTACTGCAAAATCCCCATTTCCTCCCGATCAGCTGGGATTTGGGAGGCAGAGAATAGATGGGGGCGGGGCCAGTCAGAGGTGGTATTTACCGGTTCTCCGAACTACTCAACATTTCCGCTACTGGTTTTCCAGAACTGGTCAGAACCTGCTGAAACTCATCTCTGGTTATAAGTGTGAAAAACAGTCATAAGACACTTTTCTCAGTACCATTATAATTTTGAATGGTCACTGAATGAATGCTTGTGTGATGTCTCCTGTGGACTGACGACTCCTCCGCTTCTTCCTCAGAGGCCTCGAGGGAGAAGGAGATCATTCCTGGCATGTCAGACCCTGAACTGCCAGCAGAAGAGGACTCGGCTGGAGAGAGCTTGCAGGCCAGTGAGGAAGAGGGGGAGGAGCTGCCTGCTGTGGTAGATCCCAGAGCATGCAGGGCAGAGGAGGAGGAGGTGTCAGGGTTCCAAGTAACACCCCCAACGAAATAAGACTCCAAGGCTTGAAGTTCCTCAAAGTTCCATTTTATTAGAGATGTCCTATTGGCACATCTGGGAAAACGCGAATCTGAAAGCTTCCAGGTTTTCCCCACCCAAAAGAAAGTCCAAGTCCCTGCCCAATACCCACATGTCCATCACATTGTCCAATCAAAGCACCATCCCAACTGGAGATGCCTCCCAGTTTCAGCCGTCCAGGTGCAGGGCAAGATGTCCTTGACTCTCTGAGAAAGGAATGTTATTATGACTATATATCACCCTGGCTCCATACAATTCCCCTTCCCAGTTTTCAACAGTAGTAAATGTGGCAGGCCTGAAGGCCCAATGCAAAAGATGAATTCCAGGCCTGACAGGAGGTCTTCCAGATTGCTAGGGAAAAGGCCCCACCCCTCTAGAATAGCACCAGGAGCTATTTAGCACGGCAGGGAGAAGGAGGTGATGCTGCAAGCAATATGTGCGGGTCGTGGCCAGATGTTTGTTTGTGAGACGCTGCAATTTAAGTTGCCAGGAGACTCTGCGTTTGTGTTTTGGACCCTATTTGAGCAGCTGGTTATCTGTTTGATGGACTAATTGGCCATTGCCTGGAAGTTTAGTCTGGGGCTTGTTTGTGGCTGGCTTCCCTTGGAAACGACCCTCTGAACTCCTGTGAATTCTACTTCTAAGCCCTGTAACTCTGACCATTGGACTAGCTGACAAACCTAACGGGAGGCTCCAAACCTCAGGTGGGATTTTGGCTTCTCCTTTTTGAAACTACCCAGGCAAAGCCTGCATTTCCATGACTGTTTTGAGTTTGCCGTAAGTTCATTCCTTTGTTACCTACAAAGGGCGGGGTGGAGAAGGAAAAAAAAAAGCTCTCTCTAAACCAACGCTGTGCTGCCCCACTGTGGGTCAGTGAGGCAGCACAGCTTGTAAGTCAAGGACTGCCTGTAATATTGGCCCACATGCAGCGGTCGGTTTCCAATATTCTTATCACTGGTTCACCATGTGCGTGCACGCTTGCTTCACATGTGCACCATTCACGCATATGCCCAACCTTCCACGCATGAGCCCTGCCTCAAAAATGTGGCTAAATAGGACTGCATTACGTCCCCAGTTGGCGCTACCGGTTCGCCTGAATCGGTATGAACCAGTTGAATACCACTTCTGCCCGGGTCTAGGACTTTTCGGCTCGGTCTTTTCACCTTGCCTGTTTCACCTTAAGGTTTTCGCCTCTGCGTTATTAGCCACAAACTTTTCTCCTTGGTTGACCTGCCCCCAGTCTTTCGCCCCGGGACATCAGCCACAGCCCCTCCATCGGGCCCCGGCGAAGGGACTGGGATGGAGGGGCCGTGGCTGATGTGCCGTGGCAAAAGACTGGGGGCAGGTCAGCCGAGGAGAAAAGTTTGTGGCTAATAACCCAGAGGTGAAAACCTTAAGGTGAAACAGGCAAGGCGAAGAGACCATGCCGAAAAGTCCCATTCCGCTTCTGCCTACATGACATTGAATTGCTAGCCTGATCTACCTTGAAGGGCTGGCAGCTATAAAGCCCTACGTGGCTCGGAACTTGGGTATCTTTGATACTAGCTGTTGAGGGTAGAATCTGTCAGTGCAATGAAATCTAAGCAGAAAACTCCTGATGTAAGTTATCTGGTTTCAGGATTTGTGTTGGGAGGGCCAAGGAAGTGAATGTTGTCTGTAGGACTACTTTTATGCAATATTTTTTTAAGAGGTGAGAATGGCCTCTTTCTCTTGTAATTTACTGGAAACCTGTTAAAACCTGGATGCTCCAGATGGGTTTAAGGGATTAGAATAACAATGTCACCCGAGTGAGATATGGCACCATGTATTGTATTTTCCCAGTTGCAATGTCTGGCTGTGAAAGTTGGACCATAAGGAAGGCTGAGCGCCAAAGAATGGAGGCCTTTGAACTCTGGTGCTGGAGAAGACTCCTGCGAGTCCCTTGGACTGCAAGGCGATCCAACCGGTCAGTCCTAGAGAAGATCCACCCTGACTGCTCTTTTAGAAGGCCAAATCCTGAAGAGGAAACTCAAATCCTTTGGCCACCTAATGAGAAGGAAGGACTCACTGGAGAAGAGCCTCATGCTGGGAAAGATTGAGGGCAAAAGAAGAAGGGGACGACAGAGAATGAGGTAGCTGGATATAGTCACTGAAGCAGTCGGCGTGAGATTAAATGGACTCCAGAGGATGGTAGAGGACAGGAAGGCCTGGAGGAACATTGTCCATGGGGTCGCGATGGGTTGGACACGACTTCGCGACTAACAACAATAAATTGTATTTGATGAACTGTTGGAATTCTGTACTATTTGCAGACAATCCTTGATCACAACTGGGACCAAAGTTTCTGTTGCTAAGCAGGTTATTTAAATGGATCACACCCAATTTTATAACCTTCTTTTGCCATGGTTTTAAGTGCAGTTGTTAAATGAATCATGCAATCGTTAAGCGAATTAGCTTCTCCCGTTAACTCTGCTTGTCAGAAGCCGGCTCGGAAGGTTGCCAATGACAATCACATAACACTGGGATAGCAACAGCAATAGCACTTAGACTTATATACCACTTCACAGTTTTTTACAGACTTCTCTGAGTGGTTTAGAGTTTACATATTGCCCTCAACAATCTGGGTCCTCGTTTTACCAACCTCGGAAGGATGAAAGACTGAGTCAACTTTGAGCCTGTCAGGATTGAACTGCTGGCAGTCGACAGAGTTAGCCTGCAATACTGCATCCTAACCACTGCGCCACCATGGCTCTTAAGTTGTGGTAGGATGCTGCAATTGCCCTAAATACATGCCAGTTGCCAGGACCCCAAATTCTGATCATGTGACAATGAAGCAGTGGTGAAATCCAAATTTCTTTACTACCGGTTCTGTGGGTGTGGCTTGGTGGGAGTGGCAGGGGAAGGATTCTGCAAAATTTCCACTCCCATCCCACTCCAGGGGAAGGATACTGCAAAATCCTCACTCCAGGGGAAGGATACTGCAAAATCCCCATTCCCTCCCCACTCCTGGGGGAAGGATATTGCAAAATCTCCATTCCAACCCCACTCTGGGACCAGCCAGAGGTGGTATTTGCTGGTTCTCCAAACTTCTCAAAATTTCCACTACCGGTTCTCTGAAGTGCTCAAAATTTCCGCTACCGATTCTCCAGAACCTGTCAGAACCTGCTGGATTTCACCCCTGCAATTTATTTATTTATTTGTTCAACTTGTATGCCGCCTTTCTCTGAAGACTCAAGGTGGCTTACAATGCATTTAAAAACCATATATATATGCCAATGAAGATGCTGTGATGTTTCTAAGTGTAAGGACCAATTGTAAGTCACTTTTTTCGGTGTTGTTATAACTTTCAACAATTACTAAACAAATCATTTAAACTCAAGGACGATTTGTATTGTGCATATTGCTATACGCTGCTTAAGAGTCCATTGTAACTGAAACCCAATAGAACATTTATTCATTTACAAAAATGACACCATACATTCTTGAGAATTATCTGTGCCCATAGCTTCATCATTACTGATGTTAAAAACTGTGATGGCACAGAGATTAGAATGTAGTATTGCAGGCTAACTCTGCCCACAGCCAGCAGTTCGATCCTGACCGGCTCAAGGCTGACTCAGCTTTCAATCCTTCCAAGGTCGGTAAAATGAGATTGTTGGGGGCAATATGCTGACTCTGTAAACCACTTAGAGAGGCCTATAAAGCCCTGTGAAGAGGTATATAAGTCTAAGTGCTATTGCTATTATCAATGTTATTTTGACAAAGCATTAGGGTATTAAACGAACTCAAGGACTATTTGTATTATGTATATTGCTGTATGCTGCTTAGAGTCCATTGAAACTGAAGCCCTATAGAAGATTCATTCATTCATAAGAATGACATATTACGAGCCTCGGTGGTGCAGCAGACTAAAGTGCTGTTAAGTGCTAGCACTTAGCTGCCAGCTGCCTGCAATTAGTGCAAGTTCGAATCTCACCAGGCTCAAGGTTGACTCAGCCTTCCATCCTTTCGAGGTAGGTAAATTGAGGACCCGGATTGTGGGAGCAATAAGCCAACTTTGTATAGAATAACACTGCTTGGGGGGGGGGGGAAAGCCCTAATAAGCAGGTATATACAAAAAAGTATGCAGGCTATTGCTATAAAGCCGCCCTGAGTCTACGGAGAAGGGTGGCATATACATTGGACTAATAAAAATAATAAATAAAAATATACACTCTCGAGCAATAACTGTCTCCGTACCTCCATCATTATCGATGTTATCTTCGCAAAGCATTTCCATAACAACATTGCATCCCATTCCGCTCCAGCCCACTTGGCAGACACAGTGCCATCCATTTTGGTCAAGGGTGCACCTTCCATTTCCATAACAGAGACCAGGGCATCCATCTGCAAAGACACAACATAAAGAAAGCATCGTGCATTATCTCTCCTGCAAAACAATACACCAGCAGGCAATTGGGATTTTGCAATGGGAACGACTGCATTAGATCCTCTCTTTGGATAAAATGAGATCACTATTCTTCAAGGCTGTTCATGAATTTTATACGCAAATGAAAAACTAAAGCTCTCTGAAGTTTGCCATACCATTAACTGTATATTTATCCAGAATATTTCACAGGATTTTTTTCTTTCTCTCCTAGTCCTTTTCTATCTATACATCATGAATGTAATGCCCCTTAAACTGCTTTTCCTAAAGCCACAAATTGTCTAAGACAGGGGTCGGCAACCTGTGGCTCTGGAGCCGCATGTGGCTCTTTCATCCCTCTGCTCTGGCTCCCTGTTGCTAGTCGGCTCCACAATTGACAGGGCTTTTGGTTAGGACAGGTAGAGGAAAAGGGACGCCGTGCTAGGAGGAGACTCTATGGTGGGGGAAGTGGACTTCCGGTCAGCAGAGGAGAAAGGATGCCACACTAGGAGGGGTCTCTATGGTGGGGGAACTGGACTTCCAGCCGGCTCCAGAATTAAATGGGGGGCTTCCGGTTAGGACCTTTGTGGCTCTTTGAGTGTTTAAGGTTGCTGACCCCTGGTCTAAGATATCATCTAAAATATTTGTGTCAGCATCTAAGGGTTTCTCGAGAATGCGTCTTCAGACATTGCTCAGGTTTTTTTTTTACGGGACTTAAAATCATTTCTTTCATTAGGGATCCAGCTAATCTTTTCATTTAACTCTTCAGATAGGAAAATCCAACATTGAATGCCTAGAGGTTTACAGATCTAGAAAAATGGATTATATCCAACACCATATCAAAAAACTTTTTTTAATGAAAAATTTATCACTGGTTGTGATAATCAAATAAGAGTTTCTCACGCATTCTTCCCTTAGTAATGCCTTAGTAAAATCATTACTTAGTAAAGTCTCAGAACCTGTTCTGGATTTCTGGCACTTAAACCACTGGTGGGTTGCCCCCCGTTCGGACCGGTTCTATAGAACCAGTAGTAAAACCGGCGGAAGGCTCCGCCCACTGATCCCAACGTCATCAGGAAGCTTCTGCGCAGACCCGTTGTGAACCCGTAGTAAAGGTAAGTAGAACCCACCCCTGACTTAAACTGTAGCATTTCCTGTTTCTCTGTTGCGTCTTCATTAACTATGACTTTTCTGCCTATGAAGAAGTTCATTTCCCAGACAAATTTCTGCTTATATTATCTGTTGTTTTTCACAGCGTCTTCATATTTTGGTAGCTCAGTTCTATTTTGTTTGTTTGTTTTTTTAAATTATTGACATGTTCTACTGCTTCCAGTTTTCTTAGCCATCATGGACGGTGCACGCAGATAAAAGTAGGTTACAATTTTTTAAATACAAATTGCATGATCCATAATCTGTGTGTTCAAGGAAGCATGTCAATAGTAGAAATTACCTTTTTCCAACCTTTCGCCTTCGAAGAACAGTTTCCAAAATTCCCTGTATAAATATAATTCTATTTAAACAATGCAATGTATTAACATTTATAAGAACACAATAAAAAGGAAGGGAAAAAACATTCCCAGGCAATGCTGCCTGCAAATTTTTGAGTGATGCCATGCAGTTCTAAGCTATCTTCAGCCTGCTAAGTTTGGAAGCATGATTTCAATGCTTTGTTTTTTTTCCTTTTTCCATTTTATACTCATTGCAGCCTGATTTTCAATTCAAGAAGCTGCATATAAACGGGAGTTGCTTGTAGTGTTCTGAAGGCCCTTAATTATGCTATATTGATTAGTATGTCTGAATGTTCACAATAAACTGTGAGTCAGCAGCTACATCTAAAAGCAAATAAAAATAAAATAAAATATGTACTTTAGCATGCCTACTGCACTCCTCAGTTCCTCGTCCTAGTAGACAGTATGTCTGAACACTCTTACCAATATTTTCTTACTAATGGCCAGTCATAAAACACCCATTTACTAGGTAAAGTTGTTCCTATCACTTCTCTAGAGCAGCCCTAGAAACGTCTCAAGGATTTCACCTTAATTTTGCTGGGTTTTTTTCTGTGTGAAATGGCAGACCTTCTTCTTCTTCTTCTTCTTCTTCTTCTTCTTCTTCTTCTTCTTCTCTTCTTCTTCTTCTTCTTCTTCTTCTTCTTCTTCTCCTTCTCCTCCTCCTCCTCCTCCTTCTCCTCCTCCTCCTCCTCCTCCTCCTCCTCCTCCTCCTCCTCTTCCTCTTCTTCCTCCTCCTCCTCCTCCTCCTTCTTCTTTTTCTCCTCCTTCTTCTCCTCCCCCTCCCCCTCCTTCTCCTCCTCCCTCTCCCTTCCCCATATGGTGCATATGCAGGACCCAAACATCATATAAATAGAAAAAACATTGTGAGATTGGTGTTGAGCCAATAAATACATCTGTTGGTGTTTTCTGAGCTTCATAGTTTTTTGGGAGACGTTTTGTTACCCAACTAACTAACTGTCTATGGAGATTCCCAGTCATCCAGGTCATGGTTGTCCCAAAGATGCTTTTTCAAGAGGCAACTAGACTTTCTGCGTTTTTTTTTTAAAAAAAGAAGTTTTGCTTGGATGAGAAGTGAAACTTCTTCAAAGAAAAACGCAGAAAGTCCAGTTGCCTCTTGAAAAATCACCTTTGGGCCATCATCATATAGTAAGATGTGAGTAAAAATGGCATTGTCAGACTTCCGATGCTATCTCAAAATAAATGAATTTCCAAACTGCCAATCTTTAAGGAAATCTTCTCTTTATTCGAGTACAGCAACCGGATCATGACTCGATGCGGACAAGACTGACCTTTTGCCCCCCAATCCCTCCCTTTCTGATCACCAATTATCTGCTTCTCATTGGCTATCTTCCAAGTCACTCTCCTGACTTCTTGTCTCGTCATTTCACAGGAATGTTCCCCCCTCTTCATTTCCACGGAGACCGGGCTTCAAAAGGATTTAGCAGGCAAAAGTTCAGGGCTTATCTCCCTTTTCTATGTCAGCGCTGAGACGCTGACAGGCATTTGCTGCCAATTTATATGTAATAGTCTGCACTGCCAATCCTATTGAAGGTGTGGATTCCTTCTTGATGGTACCTTGATTAGAACATTATTTCTTCACTGGTTCTTTATCTGGTGCTTTTTCCTGCTTCTCCGTGTGTTTTTGCTAGGGAGAATGTGCTCTGTGTGTTTTCTTTTTCTGACTTTTGATTCTGTCTTTTCTACAGTATCTAGGTAGGTTTCTCTCTATGTGTCTGTTGATGGCTGATTTGTCAGAATGCCAAAGTTCCAGGAATTCTCTAGTATTATGAATTGGTTTGGTTTTTGGCTACATCTAGAAATCAAAAGACTTTGAATCAACTTGATATAACCTCTTCATCTGTATTCTTCTTCATTTTGAATGTCATACACACAATGAATACCATTCTATTTCTTATTACAAGAATTGCTATGTTTTGCTATGAACATAAATGTTTAAAACCACTGAGTACTGTTATTTACTGGTCTGGATGATATATAAACATAGCTATCTATATCTATATCTATATCTATATCTATATCCATCCATATCTATCTATCTATCTATCTATCTATCTATCTATCTATCTATCTATCTATCTATCTAATCTATCTACAGTATCTCTCTCTCTCTCTCTCTCTCTCTATCTCTATCTACTATCTATCTATCTATCTATCTATCTATCTATCTATCTATCTATCTACAGTATCTCTCTCTCTCTCTCTCTCTCTCTATCTCTATCTATCTATCTATCTATCTATCTATCTATCTATCTATCTATCTATCTATCTACAGTATCTATCTATCTATCTATCTATCTATCTATCTATCTATCTATCTACAGTATCTATCTCTATCTATCTATCTATCTATCTATCTATCTATCTATCTATCTATCATCTATCTAAACTATAAAAATGCAAATCCACACAACAGCATTCCTAGATGAACTCAATAATGAAACAAGCATAGCAGTAAAAAAAAAGAAAAAAAAAGGAAACAGTGGCCTGGAAATTATTAAAAACTGAACAATTGAAAAAAGCTTGGTCACAATTGTTTAAAAGTCATCCTCTTTGCTTTCGTAGGAAAAATAAATAAATAGAAGAATCCAATTTCAATTTCAACATTCAATCCAATTTCAAAGTATAGTACTCCTTCCAGAGTTGTATGATAATAGTTTCAATCCGACAGACTCATAATTGCAACACACCAAAGCACAGAATAACTGGATATGTGATTAATAGACTGCATTTCTGCACCATAAATTTTGCTAGCGCATGCCTCGTTATTGACAAAGGATATACTGTATACCCACTAGCAGTTTGTAAGGTCAATGATGGAGTTTATAGGAGGGGAACTGTAAACTTTATTTTGCAAGAATGCTGAGTGTTGTTCTCACCATCCTACTAATGTGAGAAGCACCTGAGGCTTTGTTTCATATCTTCTGAACCTGAAAAACACCTTAGAATGAATAATTTATCTGGCAGCGCCTTTGGTTGTGACAATTTAAATACACATTCTAAATAGGTTGTGAGTTCACACGGGCCCACAAATTCAACCGTGGGAGCAGATGAGAAACCAAACTACGTAGTCAATTAACTGAAAAATTTTTCCTCCTTTTTTTGTACCCGCTTTGCTGTTGTTGCTGTTAAGGATGAATGTATCTTTTTGTTTTGTTTCATTTCGTTCATTTGTTCGACTGTTTTATAATTTATTTTCTATGATAAAACAAATATATATATATATATTAAAAAAAAGAGAATCCAAGCTACATGAGAAGAAAAGAACACATGATGATATTCAACTGTTCTAAAACTTCAACACAGTTACAGTTTGGTGGAGGAAACAAATCTTTCAAATTTTTCTTAAAGTTGGCAGTTAAAGATGCCCAGACCTGGAGTGGTTGAAACAAATCAGTGAGGTTTCTAACAAAATGAAATTCAACACACAGAAAAGTAAAATCTTACATTTAGGC